ATTTTTACAACCAGTGTCTCTGACAAGGGCCTCATTTCTAAAATATACAGAGAATTACGACAAATTTATAAGAACACAAGCCATTCCCCAATTGATAAATGGTCAAAGGATATGAACAGACAGTTCTCAGATGAAGAAATTAAAGCCATCTATAGTCATATGAAAAAATGCTCTAAATCGTTATTGATTAGAGAAATGCAAATCAAAACAACTCTGAGGTACCACATCACACCTATCAGATTGCCCAACATGACAAAACAGGAAAATGATAAATGTTGGAGAAGATGTGGGAAAGTTGGAACACTAATGCATTGTTGGTGCAGTTGTGAAATGATCCAACCATTTTGGAGAACAATTTGGAACTATGCCCAAAGGGCTACAAAAATGTGCATACCCTTTGATCCAGCAATAGCCCTTCTAGGGCTATATCCCAAAAAGATCATACAAATGGGAAAAGGACCCACATGTACAAAAATATACATAGCAGCTCTTTTTGTGGTGGCAAAGAATTGGAAACTGAGAGGATGCCCATCAATTGGGGAATGGCTGAGCAAGTGGTGGTATATGAATGTAATGGAATACTATTGTGCTATAAGAAATGAACAGGCTGACTTCAGAAAAACCTGGAAAGACTTATATGGTCTGATGCTGAGTGAAGTGAGCAGAACCAAGAGGACTTTGTACACAATAACAGCCACGTTATGCAATGACTAACATTGTTAAACTGAACCTTTCTCAGCATTATGAGGATCTAAGACATTCCAGAGGCCTCGGATGGAATGCTGTCACATTCAAAGAAAGAACTATGGAAGTCGAATCGCTATCACTTATTTTTACCTTCAGTTGAGTTTTGTTTCATCTTTCTGATGGTTCCTCCCATTGGTTTTAATTTGTACTTACAACTTCACTAATGTGAAAATGTGTTTAATGGGTACGTAAAATGTAAAGCCTATATCAGATTATGCGCCATCTTGGGGAGGTGGGGGGAAGGAAAGGGGAGAAAAATTTTCAACTCAAAAGCATATGGAAAAAATATAAAAAATTTAAATTAAAAAATGGGAAAAAAAAGAATTCCATTCATTTCTCTTAATGTCTTTTTTTTTTTTTAAAGGCAATTGGGGTTAAGTGACTTGCCCAGGGTCACACAGCTAATACGTGTCAAATGTTTGGTCTGAGGCCAGATCTGAACTCAGGTCCTCCTGACTTCAGGACCAGTGCTCTATCCACTGTGCCACCTAGCTGCCCCTATTTCTCTTAATTTCAAATAAAACTTGGTTTGAGCTTTGGGAACCTGTGTGCTTTTAAGGGGAGTGGGTGACTATGTCCTAAATTGGGGAGGACTTCAGATACTGATGTTCCCAGGTTATCTGGGTAGGACCATTGAGCCAGAGAATTCTCCCAAAGCATACCTGGGCCCTGCAGGTCGGGAGAAGGCCCAACACAAGTGTTACATATGCTCTTCTTAAGAGCAGTCCTAGAATGGAACCTGCAGTCCAACTCCCTTTTTTGACAGAGGCCCAGATTACGGAAGTGACTTACCCAAGGTGGTATAATATCAGGACCGAAGTTTACAGACATGTAGATGAAAGCATCTGAATGAACGAAAAAGCATTTATTAAGTGCTTGCTATATACAAAGCAGTGTGCTAGGCACTGGGGATACAAACAGAACAAAAAGATAGTCCCTGCTCTCAAGAAGCTCACATTCTAATGTGGGAAGACAACACATTGGTAGGTTTTGGTTGTAAGTCAGATGGAAAGGTCCCATGGTCTTTAAGAAGACAGTGGTAAAGCAGATGTATCTCCACTGATAAAACCTGAGGTTACACCACCGGACAATGCCAAGGACTTTTTTTCCTCCAAGTCTTAAGTAGATGGGGCTTCTGAGGATATAGGATGGGGGATGTAGCATCTACCCTGGAATTGCTTCCTGGATGATGGCTGGAAGCAGAGCCAGTGGTTTGGGGGCACTGCTAGTCCCAGGGCTCTTGGGTGCAGGGTCCTAGGCATCAAGGAAGCTTATTAAATTTTTGGATGACACAAAGCTAGTAGGGATAGCTAACACATTGAATAGTAGAATCCAGACCCCTCAAAACGCTTAGGCTCAAACTTAGGGCCAAAGATAAAATTAAATTGGGTTGAAAGTAAAAAGTTTTATGTGGCTTCAAAAATTAATTTCCTAAGTATGAGATGGGAAAGGCACAGTTAACTATCTAAGAAAGACCTGGGCAGCAGGGAAAGAGGCAGTTAGCGAACAGCAAACTCAAAATGAATCAAAACTATGATGTGGGCAGCCAAAAAAAGCTCATTCAATTTTAGGCATCGTTGAGCAATCATTTAATAATTGTTGAGGTCTCAAGACTACAAGGTGATTGTCCCATCGTTAACCAACAAGCATTTGACTGGGCATCTATGTGTCAGGTGCTGTGTGCTGGGCATCGAGGATAAGACAACAAAAGGAAACAGTTCCTGCCTTCATGGAACTTGTTTTCTTAGAGCAAACAGAGTAGTTCAGTGGTGAGTGTGTGCATGCGCGCGCGCGCGCACACACACACACACACACACACACACACACACACACGGAAATAGATCTGTTGGACAGAATCCAGAGGAGGGCTCGGAGCATGAATTCATGTCAGAAATGGATCGATGGAAAGCCCTAGGGATGCTGACCCTGGAAACACACAGGAGGGACATGAGAGCTATGTTCTGGAATCTGAAGGGGTGTCATCTCAAAGGGGAGATTAAACTTGACCCCAGAGGGAAGAATCAGGAATGACCAGGAGAGGTAAGTTTCATCTTGATGTAGGGAAAACTTTCTGAACAAAGTTGTCCAGAAGTGACCCAAAAAAGTATCCAGTGTGTCCTTCACTAAAGGGGACACTCCTTGGACAAGCTGTAGAGGGGCTCTTGTTTAGGTCCAAAGGGGACTAGATTGCCTCTGAGGTCCCTTCCAACTTCCAGATTCTGTCTTTGAGGCCAAGGGTACAAGAAGAGGGTCTCCTCTTAACAAGGACATGATCCAATTCATCCCCAAGAGTGGAACAAAAGGTTGTGGCATGGACTAGTAAGGGACAAGAGACAAGCGTTCCTGCTTTTTGCAGTGGGGTCATTTGCTGAGAGATGACTGAGAGGGTCCTGTTGGGGCCTAATGACTGAGAGAAGGGTCTGAACAGCTGGGAGGAGGCTGGGATAGGAAGGAGGAAAGAAGAATGGGATTCCCTTACAGCAGAGGGGACTCAGCGGAGATGAGGGTATGTTTCTATAGTTGACTCCACAGCCTAAGCTGCTGAAGGAAGCAGAGCAAAAGACGTGTGTGAAAGCCTGGAATGAAGGCAGTACAGGAGAAAGAAAAAGAGCCAGAACAGGGGTGATCCACCTGCTGGGATGATGGGGAGAAACAGGCATTTAGAAAAAATGATTGTCAGTCAATAAATATTTATTAAGGCCTACTATGTGCCAGGCATCATGCTAATCGCTTGACAAATACCTTGTTTGGTCCTCACAATCCTGGGAGGTAGGTATTATTATTATCCCCATTTTATAGTTGAGGAAACTGAGGCAAACAGCAGTTGTGACTTGCCCAGGGTCACAAAGCTAGTGTCCAAGGCTGAATTTGACCTCAGGTCTTCCTGACTCCAGGCTCAGTGCTCTATCCACCGTGCTACCAATTGTCCCTGGGGGAGATGACACACCAACTATGTACAAATAAGAAAGAGAGAGGAGAAATTGCGGGGGGGAGTCTCAGGGAAGGCACTAGCATTAAGAGGGACTGGGAAAAGCTTCCTTCAGAAAGGAGGGCTTCAGCTGGGACTTGAATGAAAACAGGAAATCCAGCAGGTGGGGATGAGAAAATGGAGGATAGAAAATGGGGTGTCCCCAACCCTAATCCTGAGATTGTCAGGGAGATTGAGCATTTGAGATAATAGGAGGGCGGTTTTGAATGAGGGCGGTTTTGAATGAGGGAGGATGAAATTGGGGTTTGACCACCCCTGAGTGGACTGGGGTACATGGGACATGAGGAAATTGAAGCCAGCATACCCAGACCATCCACAGCTGCAGGATCATAAAGGACAGAACTCTTGAAGAGGTGAGGGAACCTCTCTCTCCATCATTCTCTGGGGCTGCAGTGTGGTCACATGCAGGTATGGAAGGAGGCACATGTCAGACAATCAACAAGGCGCCAGGTGGTTCTGGCTTAACCTTGCACATCTCTTTGTTAAAGTGAAGTTTCTATTGGTGAGGAGGAGGGCAAACGTAAGAAAATCTTACGCATCAGTAAAGCTTTTGAATAAAAAAAAAAGTCACCGAGGATGAGTGCAGGAGCAGAGAAGACTGCGATCATACCAGCTGCTGGACTTGGCTGGTGCTAGCGGGTGACAGCAAGGATCTGCAGAAGACGGTCCCGGCTGGAGGGAGCAAACCCCCACACTTCCTGAGGCATGGCAGCAGAGTAAGGTCTGATGATGGAAAAGGGGAGCGAGGAGGGCCCAGGGCATCGGGGTGCTTGGGTGGAGCGTGCCAGCCCTGGAGAGGGTGACAAGGGGTCAATGTAATACTCATTTATTAAGCACCCTGGTGTACAAAACACTACCGGGGAAGACAGTTTAGATAAGGCTTCGTTACTGCCTTCATGGTCCTCCTTGGTCCTCTAAGAGGCAAGGCATAGCCCTACTGTAAGTACAGGCTCAGAGGAGGGAAGCCATTTGTCCCAGATCACAAGTGAGTTTGCCACAAACAAGTGGCATGGTGTAGCAGGGCAGAAAAAGCCTCAAATACGGAGGCTGTGAACCCGACTGAACTCCCAGTCCTGCATCTAGCTATCCGCGTGATCTCGGGCAAGCCCTTTCCCCACTTTGCACCTCAGTCTCCTCCACCGCAAAACAAGGAAGATGACTGACGGTTTCTAAGAAGCTTCCTGCTTGAAATCTATATTCCCACGACCAGTGTTTAACCAGGTTTCAAAGTAAATTTCAATCATCAAAGACAACAGACACCTTATACACAAAATTTATAACATTTATTTAGGCCAAAACTCAAAAACTCCTTTTTCCTCTGTACCCCTTTACCCCCAACTGCTTACACAAGTAATGGACTTGCTGGAAATGAGGTACCGTCCACAAATACAGTCTAATCCTGTTTATCTGGCCACAGTGGTAACAGTGCATTGGGGCCAGATAACAGAGAACCTTTGGGGGGAAAAAAGGTACCGACATGATGCTTTCTGACGGATTTGTAATGAGCTATGCAAGGAGCTGAGCAGAGCTGAAAACCAAAGCGAAAGAAAAACAGATAAAAAAACCCCCAAGAGCCCAAGGCTCCTGGAACTCTTGAAAACATCCGAGAGAGACAGCTCATCTTTATTTATCTGGGCCATTTGATGACCTGGGCTCATCTCCCTCTTTATGCTCCTGAACTTTTAATCTTGAAAAAGCCCACATTTAGTGACTTCTCGGCTAATCTCAATTCACCCCAAAGGAACTGAAGCAGAATTCTGCAAAAACAAGTCTAAAATAAAACACTCGGAACTACCTGATCAAACCTCCAGATCCCCAAGATTTCCCACCAATGGCTGCCACCTCTGGCTGGGGTGCTGCGAGACCCTGGCAGCCCCCATCAGGCGGGGCCAAACATCACAGCAAGGAGAGAGGGCCTACCTGCCCCTCAACTCCTTTCCAGCAGGCTTAGGGTGGGGCTCGGGAGGGCACAAGTGGCCCATTTAGAACTCTAACCACCTGAAGCATCTTCCCACAAACACACCCAAAACAGTAGCACCTGCGCTATACTAAAAAAAAAAAAGATACACTGATTAATTTAAAGGCCACTCAATGAACTCTTTTCCTAGTGGTTTCATCATACACCATACACATCATCCTCTGAAGACAGGGCCTATTCTATTCCCCAAAGAGACAAGCCAAGGTCTGTCACCCAGAAATTCAAACGTTCAGTACATACACTCTATCCGTTCCCTAACACCAGTCTGAAACATCTGAGTGAGACTGGATGCAGGAGACACAAACATCCACAAGCCTGAGTAGGAGGCAGGTGGGAGGCACAGCCCCAGAGTGAAACCCACCTCGCCAGCAGCGAACAGATGGCGAGCAGGCTCCAGTCTGAGCCAGTCTAGGATTGAAGACCCTCATTTAGCCGAGGCTTGACCAGCACTGCCAGCCTCAGGCCAAAAGCTGAAGGACATCCAATCAAATGTGGCCAGAGAACCTGAATACCAGATGCAGATGCCCTCAAGTTTTTCTGTTGGGTTCTGTTCAAAGCGGGCAGGGGGAGAGAGAAGCAAGGAATCACAGCAAAAGGGGGCAAGAAGCACGGCGGCAGGCTTCTCCTGCAGTTCCTACCGGGACTTCATGCACTTATGGAAAACGGGACCACCTGCAGGCCAGCCACTTGTCCTTGTCTGAGGGGGTGACAGGCAGCAGCAGGAAGGGGAGAAGCCAGACAGCAATTCCAAGTGAGCCCCTCTTCCAGACTCTCTGGACCAAGGGTGGGACCACGATGACTTCTTCTTGTCCCTCTTCCCTCAGCACAGAACCTGCCGGGCTTCATTAGAAGGGGTAGCTCCTAATGGAATCCTGAAACACCATAAGGGAAAAACCAGGATGGGCTAACAAACATCTTTCCACAGATATGCGTTAGCTTATGTCACAAACACCTATGGCCCCAGGCCTTCCATTAATAGCAGCAATTTCCCTGAAGTCCACTCTACAGAACTGGGGCTTCCAAGTACAAATTTCTGCCAATAAAGGGATCCCTGCAAACCATCTCCTCATGTGATCATGGCCCACCATTATCTGGGCACCCACACCCCCATATCGAAGATGGGTGAGCTGCTAATTGACACTACAGGGTCATTCTTAACCACAAGAGTCTATTTCCTAGAGTGCAGCCTTACAGAGATGGGTCCTACATTCTCAAATAAAAACAAACAAAAACACCAAGAAACAAACAAGCCTTCAGCTCCCACAAGTAGGAAGCACTGACTTCTTGGCGGGAGAAGCAAAAGAAGCCTCTCCAACACTTCTTAATTCTTGCTCATTGCACAAACCAAGGGTGATTTTATGTAGTGTCAAAGTCACAACCAAACACACTTGGGGAAAGGTAAAGGTAACGATCGTGGCCAACTTTCACGCCTACCCACATACAGTTCTAACTTATATCCATCCTGGTGCACGCTGAGCTCTTTCTCCGAAGATGTTCTGAGGCCCAGAAGGCACCTCATTCCCTTCCCTTTGCATGGAGGGCACGGGCACTGGGGAGTGGTTCCACCCTTATCCACTTTGTGCCACAGGAGAGGGAACTGTCGAAGGCACCAAATGCTGCCACATTCTGGTGCTCTATTATTCAAAGGTACACTGCTTGGCAACAGGGAGGGCCAGGGCATTCCACTTGTGGCTGGGGCCTGAACGGTCACTGGTAACAGACATCACGGCACAGCTGGACCTAGGGTCCAACCCAAACAGTCTGGTGCCTCCACGTGCCATCACACCTTGCTAAGAACCATCCTGGAAAGAAAGGCACTAGCATTTTTAAATGTAACTGGGGCAAGTGCTACCCGCTGGCCAGGGAGCTCCTCCTCCAAAGGTTCTGCCCACTGCTGATAGGGGCGAGAGGGTGGGGTCAAGGTTAAATTAAACTCTAAAGATTCAAGCTAAGAGAATGGCTGCCTGGTTTCCACTAGAGGGCTCACCTGCCTGTACCATAATACAGATGAAAAAAACACCTTTCCATCTTCCAGACACTTTTAGTGTTTTCATGAACCTGACCTTTCCACCTGAGCAGCACACATCCTTTCATCCTGTATGGGGCAGGACAGAGGGGGGAAGCCAAGTCCTCACAGATCTTTGCCCACCCCTCTGGCGCTCAGGCTGTAAGCAGCAGATAGAAGGATAGCAGCTTCGAGGATGCGAACAGCTGTCCCTTGTCCTCAGCTCTGACCACCCCAGTACACGCTCCATCCCGCCAATGTGTCACGTGGTACAGTTAGTGACATTTAAAAACAAGCTAAAAGAACCACACCCAGAAGGAAAAAGTGAAATTAAATTCAATTTTATATTAATGTGACATCAGGTTTTCTCCCTCTTAAAAAAAACCCCAAAACCTGCTATGTCCCCCTGAAGTAGATTTCACCTGTGACAATGGGCCAAGTCTACAAGACTTCCTTACCCTACAGGACTGGAAGAAATCCAATCACCATGAATTTACTCGTTTTCTTCCTTTAGCCGAATTCCATTTTCATTCTGACCAAAATTAAAGTTGACTTATTCTCACAGTCACATGAAATGAGACCAAACAAAGATGTTAACTGCATGCTTGTAAGATAATCACATCAAAAAGAAAAACTTTCTTTGGGAAGTGAGCAGTCTTACAAATGCTCCCCTCCCTCTCTAACTTTAACACATCAATTCAAACCTCTGTTTAAAACACAGGCTGTCCCCGGGGAAACGACAGTTGTGTTGTAAAGCAAAGATGGACTCTGTCTTTCCCCCAGACCAGGATCAGTAACAAGCTGGTGCAGGTCCTCCATGCTCCCAGAAGGCCCTGCTGGAAACACCAATGACTCTTCCCCATTGTGCCGAGTCCTAGAACAGCACCTGACTTTTTGGGTGGTGGGTGGTCAGTGGAGAGAGGTTCTCCTGAAGACACGGATGAGGGTCAAGAGATACCCAGCACCTGCCAAATCCTCTCCCTGGCTGTCTTTTCCTCCGTTGGCAGTGAGACAGGAACAAGACGTCAGAACAAGAACAGGGACGGCCAAGGGCTTTACACTTCAGGACCCCAGTGCCCGTCACTGCTAGCATTTCTCCCAACAGGGCATGGGAGCATGTGGTGCAACCTTGGGCTCCCTGGACAGAGACAGACATGAAATAGAGGAGAAATGACTGGGTGACCCACAGGAGCCTGTATACGGATTCACACCTCTACAACCTGACTTACAAACAAGGGGGATCTTGGGACATTTCACAAAGAAACAAGTCAGAAAGATTTTTTAGGAGGGAAGGGGATTAGGTACCAAGAACTTTTACAAGAAAACAGCTGAGCAGCCTTCTCAGGATGAACAGAGAGAACACATGCTTGGTTGCTGCACCAGGAGAGGTGTCTCAGAAAGAGAGGCTGTGTGAGTGAAAGCATCGGAGCAAAGAGGCCACATGCCCAATTCCTCTTCTCCGTTCTCCCTCAACAACCTGGTGGCCTTCTCCTTGCCGGGCCCATTCTCTTCCATCCATTGCCCACCAGCAACAGCCTGGCAAGTGGCCTCCACTAGGCAAGGACACAGAATCCAGCGGCTGTGCTGACACGCGCCCCTTCGCAGGGGATGGCTGGCGCGGGCCGTGCCCAGCAGAGAAAGCAGACCACATACCACATCAAGGGCCACCTTGCTCGGGAGGGGTCTGCAGATCTCCTGAATGTGGACCACTCTGCAGTGGGCTCGTGCACTGAAGTTTCTCATAATGATGCACAATCTCACAAGCACAGGTAGACTCACACACCAAAGAATTATGTGGAAAGGTCTCTCAATGGTCAGAGAAGGATGGATGGGGCCCTTCTCTTCTTGCCTTAAATTTTTAAAAAATCACAACAGGAATTAGAGACTCGCTTGAATGGGCATCACTGTCCACACCCACTAATAAATAACCCTGCAGTGGTAAAGGTACCAAGGCTCCTCACTGCAGCAGGCCTCCTGCACAGAGGAGGGAGCACAACCACAGTGTCGGCCTTCTGTGGCCCTGTGACACATGGTTCTCAGTGGAGCTTGGCCTGCGACTGCTTCTTCCCTGGGGGTGGCCGCCCATGACGGACAATGTGTTTTTCCAAGCTATCCAGGATGGCAATGGCGATCTGCTGGACATGGGGGTCAGTCTGGTCCTGCTCCTTGATGTTGTACAGATGCTGCAGCCCGCCTTCCTCGATGAGCATGCTGCAGTACCGGGCCGCTGCAAGAAAGCAAAAAGACATGCCTTAGCCTTTCATAGCAGAGCTGCTGCCAAGCTCCACATGATGACCCTGCAGTGCCCATCGAGGGAGCTCTGGGCACTGGCCTCACCAGTGGACCCCACATCACCTCTACATTCCAGTGACGCACCCACGAGGTTCTCCCAGCAACCTTGTGGGGGTGCTGCTATTCTTATCTCCATTTTACAGGCTTGGCAAGATCAAGTGACTGGCTAGCATTAGATGTCCTCTGCTTCAGGCCCCCTCAGACTTCAGATTATGGACTGTACAGACCTCAGAGGGAGGCTCCTTAGCATAAGGTGGTGGGCAGCCAGGCTAGGGGAGAAAACATGTACCTAACTAGGTGCGTACAAGCTGCATCCTCTTATCTCTGACTCAAGACATCTTACACTCCCTTCAGAATAGCTCACACACCACCTTCCCCCATGAGACCTTTCACTGAACAATATGTAGCCAAAAGGTATCCTGTCCTTTTCCAATGTACCTCAATTCAACAGGCATTTATTAAGCACCTACTCTGTGCCAAGCTAGTGCCAGGGGCTGCGTTAGAAAGACAAGATGGAAAAGTCCTCGCTCTCTCCTCAGAAGACCCAGCATGTATATGAGTAAAAATGAGAGAAAAGATTTCAGTGTGCCAGCCAGACACAAAACGGCTGGAGACAGAGCTGTTTATCTTTGTACCCCTTGCAGTATTTAGCACGGCTGCCATACACACGATGGGTTCTTACTAAAGTCTTCACAACAAAGGCGGAAAACAGATGTCCAGAGGGGCTCTGCTTCACACCCAAAGGCACAACCAGAAACAAGAGAGATATTGACTGCAAGGCAGCATACTAACTAATCACACCTTTTAAAAAACTTCCCAACAATTGAGAGCTTGCCAAGAAGGGCTGGATTGCCTCAGGAGATAGCTCTGCTCACTACATCATGAACGAGACTTCATAAAGCTGGACCATGAGGACCAACAGAAGGAAGTGTAGGAATTGGCTGAGAAAAGAGGGAATTTCGGACGGATGAGACAACTATCACGATGTATGTATGTGAAGGGCCGTAACACAGAAGAGGGATCATGCTTTTTTCTCCTGACTCAAAAGGCGACCAGCAGGAGTACTGCGGGAGAGGTCCAAAGAGGCAGATTGGCCCGAAGGAAGGAAAAGCTTCTTGACCATGAGAGCTCTTGCACCGTGGGACAGGCTGCCTCTGGACAAGGCAGGGTCACCCTCTCTGGAGGTCTGTCAACAAAGGCTGGATGGACCATTCTTCAGCTGGTTATGAAGTGGAGAACATTATTTTGCAGGTAAGAGTTGGACTAGATGGTTATTGAGGACGCTTCTCATTCTGCAAGTCTATGATGTGAAATGCATCCAGGGTTCTCCCTCTAGAAATGACCCAGTTGAGAGCATCAAAACCATGGTTACACTGTAAAACGAAAGCAGCCTTGTGCCAGCCTTCTCCTTTAACCCTTTCTAGTAAGCCAGGTAGCCACAAAAGAGGGAGAAGCTTACAGGTCCACATCCAAGATTCCTTAGGGCCCCTCAAATGCATTCACCAAGGCAAACACACATCGAGTAAGAACCAGTTGGTCTTTTTCAGGCACAGGTTGGCAAGCAAACAGAGACTACCTCTGCCATGCCCCCCCTCCCCCCTAGTACATACGGTTCTTGCTGCAGACGTGCTGCATGGCCCACACTGCCCACAGCTGCACACCAGGGGTCGTAAAACAGCCGAGCAATGGGAAAAACGGATTGAAAGACCTGAAAGTTAATGAGAAGAGAGGTCACCATTTTCCAGAATGGGCCTTCTAAACGTCATCATCCTATTTTAAACTGGGGGGGAGATCAGAGGGAGAGGTCAGAAACAGAACAAGAGGGAAAAAAGGGACAAAACCAAGGGGAAAGGCCAATGTAAGTGAAGGGGAAGTCATGCTCAAGGGAGAGGAAGAGAAGACATAAGTTTCACATCTTTAAAGCACTTCAAGGTTTACAAAAGGCTTTCCACCTGGCTTCTGAGATAAAGATCACCAAGTGCACGAAAAATGCGAAATAATGAACACCCATTACAGACAATGATGATAATTAAAATTTTTTAATCCTCAAACAAAAATAATTTCTTCCTTTGAGTTGACTTGTTTTTGGTTGCCTGTATCCTTATTTAGATACTTCTGTCACACACTCCTCTGAGAACCACTCCCAGCCTTGGATTCCAAGTCACCTGGGACCTCACTGGGTTAGCTTGTCCTTTCAAGGGCTATGACCTCAAAAGAGCATTATTTCTTCAAGAAAAGAGCATGGCAGACCCTGTGTCCCACTGACATCTACTGATGCTAACAGGTTAGCGTGGAGTAACATGTCAGCAAGCTATCCCCTTTGAAATGTCCAAAACCTTTGACCCAGTGATCCCAAAAACAAAGTCCTTATACATACCAAAATATTTATAGCAGCACTTTTTTGTGGTAGGAAAAAAACCATTTCTACGTTATGTGGAACCAAAGTAGATGTCCACTGAGTGGGGAATGGCTAAACAAACTGTGGTATAAGAATAGGGAAGGAAGTAGAATAAAAAAATGGAAATAAAGAATACAAGAACAGAAATGGAAAGAACAGCAACCACAAAATGTATGTTGCAAAAGGACATAGAATGTTTGACTCTAAAGAAGAAATGGAAAAAAAAATAATAATAAAAGAAGAAATAAGATATCCCTACGTTCCTTTGCAGAGGGGTGTGTATGTGTGTGGGGGGGGACACAGTCTGCAGGGGGGAACACCGCATACACTGTCAGACTGGTTTTGACTGATATTTAAGATCTTTCTTTCCTCACTCTTTTTTAAAAAAGTCTTTGTCATAGAGAAGACTAAGGAGGAAACGTAGGTGACATTAAAACAAAAGATACCAATAAAAATTTATTCTAAAAAACCTCAACAAGCTAGCCTTTCTTGTGCCCGATAAGACTGGTCAAAGCCGGAGGACCAGTGCAGATGGGGACAGAGACTGCTACACTAAGACCCTGGCTAGGCTACCCTCTTAAGCAACTGGAGAATTTCCTTGGGATGTCTTCAAGTTCCTAGGCCTTTTTTTTTACCCACAAAGAGCCTACAAAATACTTTCTTTGCCACAATTCTGTGAAGCAGCTAGCGTTGTTAACCCCCCTTTACAGGTGAGAAAACTAAGGCTCCTTGAAGGTGCCCTGCCTCTGACCCCACCTTCCTCCTTGGGCAGGCCATCCCCAGCTATCTGGTTTGCCTCGTCCATTTCCCAAAGAGTCTATTCCAGACTGGAAACTAAGAGGGTGGGGTGGGTAGACCAACAGTGGGCTCCTAGGGAACATCTCATGCCATTGTTCTCCTCTAGGAAGCATCTTTGGGATCTGGGGGCAGGACTGCGAGGGACAGCAAACACCAGCTCAAGACTTTTTGCAATTGAGTAATTTTGGATATGACTTAGAGAACCAGGCCAGGTGGCTGTCACCTTGCAAAACAGCAGTGACAGGGTTTGGAAGCCTCCCAAGGGTGGCTCATGGGGCCATGGCCTAAGGCCCTAAGGGCAGGTGAAACCAGAATGTGAGAGTCAAAGAGGTAAATGACTTAATGCTTATGAAGCCAATCACAAAAATGAACTATGACTTGAATATCTGTGACTACCTCATTATCCAGCTAATTATGCATCATCCTATATTCAAAGTGGTGCCTTCCTCTATGCTCCTGACTCCTCTAGCTGAAGGGATGGTGACGGGAAGGCAGAGAGCAGAACACATTTAGACTGGGTTATTATTATTTCAAAGCAGGAAGAGAGTCCAGGTGGTGAAAAATCATCCACTTCTGGTAAAAATACCCATGCCCTATCTAGGTAAGCAACAGCCTTCTACTCCATGAGGCTGTTTAATTAAATTTACCGATTTTAATTAAAAATTATTTCATTTTTATTTTCAGATACAAGTTTTCTCCCTCTTTCCACTCCCCACCCCCCGACATTGAAAAGGCAAGAGATACAATACCCATCATACATACGAAGTCATGCAAAACATATTTTCCCATTAGCTATGTTCCAGGAAAAAAAAAAAAGGAAAATAAAGAAAGAAGAAGAAATATGCTTCAATCTGCATTCTGAGACAATCGGTTCTCTGTCTGCAGGTGGATGGTATTTTACGTCATGAGTCCTTTGGAACGGTGGTGGATCACAATTACTAAGCCTTTCACTGTTGATTTTCTTTTCAATATCCCTGTTACTTGTACATTGTTCTCCTGGTTCTGCTCACTTCACTTTGCATCAGTTCATACAAGTCTTCCCAGGTTTCTCTGAAACCGTCGCCTTCATCATTTCACTAGTTCAGCCATTCCCCAACTGATGGGAACCCCTTCAGTTCCCAACTCTCTGCCATCACAAAAAAGCTCCTACAAATATTTTTGTACGGGTCCTTTTCCTTTGATTTTCTTGGCATACAGACCTAGTAGTGGCATTGCTGAGTCAAAGGGTGTGCACAATTTTATAGCCTTTTGGGTACAGCTCCAAATTGTTCTCCAGAAGAGCTGCACCAGTTCACAGGGGGCCATCTCCAGTCATCCTGATCTATATCTGGCCACTGGACCCAGACAGCTCCAGAAGAGAAAATGAGGTTGGTGACCTTGCACAGCCCTCCCTCACTCAACTCCAATTCACCTGCATGCCGTGGCATCACCTCCCTGATGTCATGGTCCTCTTTGTACATGAAGGACAAACAACAAGTTCCCAACTCCACCGACAGTACTTAGTGTCTCTATTCTTCCACGTCCCCTTGAGCATTTGTCCTTTTTCTTTTCTCTCATTTTAGCCAATCTGAGAGATGAGAGGTGGTACCTCAGAATTGTTTTAATTTGCATTTCTCTATTAATTAGTGATTAAGAGCATTTTTGCATGACTCTTGACGGCTTTGATACCCTGCTATTGTTAATACTCATCTATTCAAGGTCCTCCAAAACCTGGCCTCTCCAGCTATCCTATTACTATTCTCCTCCAAGGACTCTATAATCTAGCTAGATTGGAAAAGTCTCTGTTCCCTTGAACAGCCTTGGAATTGGACTCAGGTAGAACTGGGTGTGATTTCTGACTCTGAAACTCACTTAGCACAGTGCTTGACAAAAAGGAGGTCCTTAATAAATGCTCTACTTGACCACAGGCATCAATTCACCTCTCTGAGCGTTAGTTTCCCCACCTATAAAATGGGGTTACCACCATCTGCAGCAGTGCCTACCCACCCAGGGGTTGTGAAGGTCAAAGGCCACAATCTAAGTGAAGGACAGAAATGCCAGCTCCCACTGCCTCAACCCTTTCCCTCCTTTCTCTTTGCCCACAACATTCTCTGTATCAGAAATGTCTCCCTTCTCCCTTCTAGAAAACCTCCGTGATCCCTTTTCCCTTCGGACTTTAATAGTCCTTTGGTGAGCCCTCCTGGGGCACTTAAGCCATCTTGAGTTTCTGTTTTCTGTGCCCCTGTCTCATTCCAATAGGAGATAGTGAGAATCCCAACTGCAGATCTATGTCTTACCCAAATCTCCTAAGTCCTCTGGGGCTTACCCTGCACTCAACACTTAACAGGCATTTGTTGAAGGAACAAATGGATATGTTAATTACCTGTATGCCACCATCTCACAGTCCGGTGTTGGCCACTTCAAAATGGCTGAATGCTGTAAGACACAGAGACACAACACAATTGAGCATCATGCTGACTGCACAGACTCCAACCTGTGATGTTGTGACCACAGACCAACACGCCATCATTCCACAAGACAACACACAGGCTGGGCTAGGACCGTACCAGATCATCAAGGAGGGCGTTTCTTTGGGTGCGGCTTAAAGTCCAGGCCTGTTCACCTCTGGATATCAAATGGGCAATAATTCCAGCTGCAAAGTAGCTGACTTCAACCTCAACACTGTGCAGGAGTTTACTGATATGATCTATAAAGTCCTTCCACATCAGCTCAGAATGTAATTCTTTCACTTCAGCGATATTGTTCTGGAAAGAAGCAAAGCACATTAAAACTTTCAATTAGGGCAATCTCTTAATGATATACTGTTTTAATTAACATTAAACATCTATTATTCTCGACCCCTCTTCAACCTCTGACACATTAGTGGCACACCTCTTCTCCTTAGGGGACCTCTGCTGTTGTTCAGTACTGTCTGACTCTTCATGACCACATGGACCATAGTACTTGAAAGCTGTCCGTGAGGTTTTCTTGGCAAAGGCACTGGAGTGGTTTGCCATTTCCTCCTCCAGTGGATATGGCAAACAGAGGTCAAGTGACTTGCCCAGAACCACACATCTAGTATGTCTGAGGCTGGATCTGAAGTCGGGTCTTCCTGATGCCAGGCCCAGTGCACTATCCACTGAACCGCTTAGCTGCCTCATAGGGGAGCTCTGGTTTGTGACCCTGCTCTGTGCAGGCCTCCTACTTCTCTGATCACTATTTCCTCAACCTCCTTTATTGGATTCTGAACCAAGTCAGGGCCACTAGGCTCTCTCCTGAGCTCTCCCTTCTTCTCACTTGGTGACTTTACTAGCTCCCACAGGTTCAAAGATCATGCGTACAATTCCCACACCTACGGATCCAGCCCTAGTCTCCTAAGCTATAGTCCCAGGGCACAAACTGTTCATTTCAAACTGGATGTCCCCTGGGGGCCTCAAACGCAGCACATCCAAAACAGAATGCATTATCTTCCCCCACAAACTGAGCCCTGCTCCAAACTTCCCTCTTCATCACTATCCTTCGGGGCTCCCAGGTTTTATAACCTCAGCATTTTTCTCAACACCTCACTCACACATCCAAGCAGACGTCTCTCTCTGCACATGGCCACTGCACTAATTCAAAGTCCATCACCTCTCAGCTGTATTACTGCAAATAGTCAACCTCCTAGTTTCTCTCCTCCACAATCCACTCTCTGTAATGATGCCGGATTTCTGAAGGCACTAGTTTGACCATATTACCCTAATTCAATCCCTGCCTCTCATCTCCTAAAAAACCTCCCGAGGCTCCCCACTCTCTCTAGGACCAGATAAAACTCTTGTTGCTCTTCCCAACCTGACCCTGACCTTCCTTTCCAGCTCCACTGGACAGTCATTACTCCACCTTCCTATCCTCACACACAAGGCTCCATCCCTTCATGAGCTGCCTCCCCACCCAGAACGCCCTTCTTGCCCACCTCTGCCTCTTAAGATTCCCTAATTCGAGACTCAGGTTAAGCATCATCTTGTGCAGGAAGTCTTCCCCACCCTCCCCAGCTGCACCCTCTCCAAAGTTACCTTCCTCTTATTCTAGAGGTACCTTCTATGCACCCACTGATATGCAGGACGTCTCCCTCAATGGAATATAAGCTCCTAAAGAGCAGGGGCTATGTTTACTTTGTCTTTGTACAAGGCTTTGGACAATGCCTGGTGCATAGTAAATGCTTGTTGATTATGTGGTAGGCAATCTGTTTGGCTGAGGATGTGAAGCTGAAAAAGATAACATACGGCCTCAAAGAACTGATGGTAAGGGGGAGGGGGAAGAGGCAAATGATGTTAGGTTTTTTTTAAGTTTAATTTTTTTCAATGAACAAAAATCTGTTTTCTCTCTGTTCTCCCCTCCCCACACTGGAGAACAAAGTAACACCCAAGCAAAAGTATGCACAGTCAACTAAAACAAATTTCCACACTAGCAATGTTCAAAAAACATCTTAGTCTCGTCCGTACCGAGTTCACCACCTCTCAGTCAGAAGGTGAATCACATGGAAGCATTTTCATCATGGGTTCTCTGAAGTGAACTTGTCTATAACATTGTCTTTCCAGGTTTCTCAGAAACAGTCCCCTTCACTGTTTCGTATGGCCAATAGCATTCCATTCCATTCATATACCATAATCTGTGCAGCCATTATCCAACGGATGGGCTCCCCCTAAGTTTTCAGTTCTATGCCATGACAAAGAGTTGCTATAAATTTTTCTGTCCAAATGAGTCCTTTTATTCTTTGATCTTTTTGGGGTGAAGGTACTACTGGGCCAAAGGGTGTGCACGGGTAACTTTTTGGAAACGGTACCAAACGGCTGGACTGGTTCCCAGCTCTACCAACAGGGTATCAATGTGCCCATTTTCCCACAGCCCCTCCCACGTGTCATTTTCTTTTTTTTGTCAATTCTGCCAAGCTGATGGGTGTAAGGTAGTATCTCAGAGTGGCTTTAATTTACATTTCTCTAATTCGTAGTGATACTGGAACGCTTTTTCATATGGTAGGGCAAATGACATGTACAGAGGTGGGAAAATTAGAGGAGAGTAAAGTAAAATAAAAGGAAAGATCCAAATGAGGAGCTCTCTGACAGATTTAAGGATATCAGTGCCTTCTATCACTAACTACCTGATATTTAACTCTCTTGTGTTTATTCTACATATACTTATATATATGGACATGGTTCCTCTGATAAATAAGAGCAGAGGCTGACATTTTTGTCTTTGTTTGCTAGTACCTTGGAAAGAGCAAACAATGAAGAAATGTTTGTTGATTGACTGACTGATGGAGAGATCACACTGAGCTTAAGTAATGAGGGAAGGCTTCACTTAGGAGGCAGCACCTGAACACAGCCTTGAAGGAAGAAAAGGATCATTTCCTTGTCCAGGGTCAATGAGCCTTGTTCCCTGCTTCTAGCCAAAATAGTCCTTCCAAACGTTCACCTTATTGCTCAAATGCCTCCATCTTCTTGGATGCCTAAATAATGGAAGTAGCTTATGTTTGTAAAGCAAAATCATCCAGGAGCACTCCTGTGATGGAGGCAGTCAGTCCATTATTATTAGGATCGTTTTACAGCTCAGTATCTGGCCTTGACCAGACACACCACATTGGGCTGGTCTCCCTGATTGTTAGAGACAGTACAGTAAGGTAAAAAGCTGTGTGAAAGCTCAAAGGGAAGTCAAAACTGAAATGCCCCACACTGACAAACTACTGCTATAAAAGAACTTAATTAATTTTTGTAAAACAAGCAAAGCTCCTCAGAGGGCCTTGGCAGCTGGAGGGGATAATTAAGCACCCCTCTGCAATGTGCCACTGACCCCTAGAAGTTGGAAAAGCAATGAGAAGGCCAGTATCCAGGCATCTGCTAATCACTGCTAGAAGGAGAAAGTGCCTTCTCCTGAGCAAGACAAGATGGTACTCAAGCCTGCAAAGAGCCACTTACTGAGGAAACTTGCTTTTCCATTTTAAGGCTCTGCTATACCCCCAAACCACTGCCAGAACAAGTGTCAGCGACCCAGCCTCAAAGTTGTTTGGAGGATTTTTTCTCCCAAAGGTTGTAGAAGCATTACCTTCATTGATGGAATGATAAACTTTGATAAATATACTGCTGTACTGAGAAAAAGACTGGTACTAGAACTACAAATATTACTAAACGGACAGAGAATACTGTGAAATGATCTTGTACCAGGTCTCATGTCACAAAAGGTTAAGAAATTTATCCAAGAGATGGAGGTAAACAGGCTTCAATGGCCTAGGAACATGCCTAATTTAAACTCCATTAAAAGTATATGGGTTATAACCAAGGTTAGATGCGGAAAAAAATATTCAGTGTGATAAAATGTGGTTTTATGAAGAAAATGTGTCAAGTTCTTATAAATTCAATACTAAAACAAATGACTGACTGCACCAAAAGGACATAATTAAATTTTAATGAAGATGTAAAAAGTTAAGGTAAAAGATTAAGGCCTCCTAGTGATTGTCATTATATTCATCCTCATCCCCGCCTGCATCATGCATTAGTGTGGCTACTTTCTCTTTACTGGTTCAGATCATACTCCTCCACCCACGGTCCACACTTCCCTACTGTCTGAGATTTTTATTCCCTCCCCATGCAGCAGGAGTCAACCTGTCCTCTCTGCGCACTCCCACTTGATTTGGTCCCTCTGACAACTTGAAATTTAATTGCGTGATCATTATATGCCCGCTATCCACAAAGCTGGCTTTGGGGAGGGTGTGACGCTCATTTAAGACATAACTGTCTTAGAACTAAGGAGTCCTTAACTTCAGGGAGCTCACGGTCTAGAAAGGATATCAGGCACCAACAACGGTAACCAAAACATATACCAGGACATAAGCAGACTAGAACAAAACAAAGAGATATGTAAAGTTCATTGTGATTTAAGCCCTGAGTCTGTGGAGGGGAGAAAGGGTCCAAACTAGGGGGCCCTAAATGCCAAAGAAAGGGTACCAACTCTGCTTTGTGACAAGGGAGCTACCTCTAACTTGGGGGTAGGCAGAGATCTCCGACTGGATATGACACAAGGAAGGCAGAGAAAAGAACTGGAGGTGAAGAGTGGGGATGGTGGCCCACCAAGCAGATCATGAACAGATCAGGAAGTTGCTGCACGTCTCTAATGCCAGTTGAGTGAGGCCTGAAGTGGATGTGGGCACAAAGAAGGATCCAGAAGGAACATTGGGAGGGGATAATCCAAAGGGTCTAACCCCTGAGATATTTTAAATAATATTCTTTTCTATACAGGCAATGGAGTATAGAAATCTATCATGCCCCACAGGAAAACAGAAGAGGAAGGGGATAAGAGAAGTAGAGGGAGACGGAAGGGAGGGCAGATTAGGGAAAAGGGTATTTAGAATGCACACTGTCTTGGGGTTGGGGAAGGGATGAGATGGGGAGAAAATTTAGAACTCAAAAACTTGTAGAAACTAAAAATAAATAAATTAATGAATCTTTTTTTCTTTTCACATAGAAACATTCCTCTTTCTTGATGTTTGTCAAGTTTGTAACACCCCCCCCCCCCCAAAAAGGACCAAGTCCCATCCTCCATGGCCTTCCTAACTGGTCACCACTGAACCAATGGGGCACATACAACACTTACTGGAGAGAAGTTCTGGGGTCACCCACAATGCTCCAATTGCACCTTTCCTCACACGCTGAAGGATTACATTTAACTCAGTTGGCTCTCCTTACATCACTAATCCATATTCAGGCTTGTGGGCAACCTGCATGCCTTGGCAATAGTGACTGCCCTACACTTACTACAAGTGGAAAGGGTCCCCCCTTCCTCCCATGCAAACCCAAAGCTGCAGGATGAAATGATCAAGGTTGCCCCAAAGAATATAAGGCGGCTTTTCCCTACTCCTTTGTAGAGGTGGGAGATTACAGGTAGTGTTTTGGACTCAGGGTTAGAATTTTAAAAGGGATGGCTCTCTGAGAGGGGGAAGGAGATGACCCTATTGGGAAATGTAGGTGCTAGAAAGACAAAAGATCAGTAAAATGCCACAGAAAAAAATAATGAGGTGGATAGTTGGGGACGTTGCTTTGAATGTACTAGGTGACACAACGGGGCAGAGGAACATGCATCACACCTTACCAAAAGGCCAAGGACTTTCTGCTGAATGGAGGACTCTGTCGGGAAGGACTGTTGAGAGAGAAAGAGAGAGAACAGACTCAGTCACTACTTCCCTGCCAGCAGGACGGGACGGAGCCTCAACTGCCCGGCTGTCCTTACCTCCAGCACCCTCATGAAGAGCTCGAGACCTTGGTTCTCTATGAAGTGCTTACAGGTTGTCGGGGACTCATCCGTGAGGTTCCAAAGGGCACTCAGGGTGAACTTGAGGGTTGTGTCCACGGAGTTCTGGCTGGTTTTCTGCTTCACTATCTGGAGAAGTTGCTGGAAGGAAAGAAAGGGGGGATTTAAACTCAATGACACCTGGAAATCCATGAGCCCTCCCAAACTTAAAGCAGTAGCTACTAAGTACTTCCCCAGCAGCCAGTCAGCCTGGTAAAGAGTACCTTACATTTAGAGCCAGGAAGACCTGAGCCTCGCCATCAGCCAGGCACTGTGTTTCTATACCTCATGGCTCGAGATTTATTTAGTTTCCTCTAGAGAGAGGGCTTCGAGTCTATTTCCCAGCTATCTGTACTCACCTCTCCACTTAAGAAGGACACTAAGAAGCCTGAAAGCATCAAGAAGCAGGCAGTAAGTGTCCAGGATAGCAAAGGCCCCTAGATTGTGCTCTCTGAGGAACTAGACTGGAAAAAGAAAACATGGGGGGATATGCTGGCTTTCCTGATGGTTCTGAAGGGTGGTCACGTGGCAGATAAGTCTTGTGATGCTTGGCCTCAGAAGGCAGAACGGGCAACAATGGGTTAATGTGCAGGATGGCAGATTTAGGGTCGGTGGAAGAAAAACTCGCTAATCTAGAGCTACCCAAGTGAAACAGGCAGTGGTCTTAGCAGACTGAAGAAAACCTTAATAGCCTGCACTTCTGGCAGAAGCAGAAGCCTGTCAGAAATAAAATGATTAATTAAATTCTAGGCACTTCTGCTTACAGAGAGAAATCCAAAGGGACAGCAACTGACTGCTTTTGAAAATCTTTCCGATTCAGGTCATTTTCTACTTAAAAATTTAGAGAGTTCAAGAACCAAGACAAAATTCCACAGTCAAAATTAAAGTCTGTGTAACAGTTATTGATTCATCATCCAGAACAACAGCAACTTACCTGGAGAATCCTTTCCCTAAAGCTATTCAACTGAATTAATTCTGACAGGGGTGGAATTTCCAGCCGAAACACGGAGGAATTGTACTAGGTGGCCCAGATCCATAGATTCAGAGGATTTTAAAGCCAGAAGGTCCCTTAGAGGTCACTAGGCCAAACTCCTCATTTCACAAATGGGGGCACAGAGGGAAGGAGACTTGTCTACAGTCACCCAGTGGCAGATTCAGCTCCAGCACCCAGGGAGCAGTAGTAACCCTTCCTTGGACCACCCTACTTCTCTATGAAAGAAGGAAGAAGCTTCTCCCCCAGTATTCACAAGGAATATCCTCCAATGGATGCGCTGCAATTCAACCAACATTGGTTTTGGGAGAACTTATCGTGTGTAAGGGGCAGAGGAGATGCGAAGATAAAACATGGTGGCGCCTAACCTCAAGGAGATGATAAAACAATGCCAGGGAAATCAGCTGTGAATAGAAATTAGTGTTCCAGGATGTAGACAGCTACATGGGAAAGGAGGATCAAGAGAAGATGGGCCAGGAAAAACGGAGGGGAGATCACAGGCATGGAGTGAACTGAGATGCAAAGATGGGGGGCAGCCCTACCACAGCCAGCTGGCCTTCCACGGCTTCTGAGATGGACCTGGTCAGACCTGCATGGGCTACAGGCTAGTCTTCTAGCAACGGTGTGAAGGACACACCAGAGGGGAGGACAGTAGGGAGGACACTCTTGTGGTCTAAGTGAGAGGGTCCTAAGGGCTGAGCAAAAGTGAACACGTCAGTGTCTGGAAAATGTCTGGAAAAGGGAACTCTCTGATGCCATGGAGATGCCACTGACTTACCCTGACGATGAAGAGCTCAGCTCCCAGCTGGGCAGTCTGTTCTGTAGAAAGCTGCAAATAAACAATCCCAGGTAAATTTCAAGAAATTCCCATCGGGAGTCAAATACCATTAGCCCACTGAGCCACCACCCAAATGCCCTGACTGTAATGGAATGTTGCTGCAGTCGAATGACATGTGTTAGTCTGAGAACTGCTCCAACTAGGAGGCCATCCCACCAGTCTGGTTTGTTGGAATCACACTTTGGGTGGAAAGCTTGAGCCCAGCTAGCAGAGACCAGCCAGCCTGGGAAGTACCTTCGCAGCGAGGATGGAGATGATTGCCACGGCCATCCTCTGCATGTTCTGGTCTTCGTGGTTACAGAGCCACTGCATGACAAGCTTGGCAGCTTCAAACCTGCAAGGAGACAGGGTTTCCACAGATGACTCCTGAAGGCATGAAATCTGCAGCTAGCATGACAGGGTATAAATAGCTCCAGGCACTATGCCCAATCCAGCAATATCAGCACTAGGGCTGTATCCCAGAGAGCTCATACAAATGGGAAAAGGACCCACATGTACAAAAATATTTATAGCAAGAATTGGAAATTGAGGGGATGCCCATCAATTGGAGAACGCCTGAACAAGCTGTGGTACATGAACGTGATGGAATACTATTGTGCTATAAGAAATGATGAGCAGCCAGACTTCAGAAAACCCTGGAAAGACCTGTATGGACTGATGCTGAGTGAAGTGAGCAGAACCAGGAGAACACTGTACACAGTAACAACCATGTTGTGTGATGACTAACTTTGATAGACTTAGCCCTTCTCAGCAATGCAAGGATCTAAGATATCCCCAAAGGTCTTATAATGGAAAATGCTATCCATATCCAAAGAAAGAACTATGGATTTTTAATGCAGATCAAAGCATACTATTTTCACTTTTTTTGTTTGTGTTTTTTTTTCTTTTTCATGGTTTTTCCCTTTTGTTCTGATTCTTTCACAACATGACTGATGTGGAAATATGATTAATATGATGGTACATGTATAACCTACAACAGATTGCTTGCTGTCTTAGAGACAGGGGAGGGGGAGGAAGGAGGGAAAAAAATTTTTATAAAAATGAATGTTGGAAACTATCTTTACAATAATATTAAATGGGAAAAAATAAAATAATAAAAACAAAAACAGAAAATAAAAAACAAAAAAAGAAATAGCTCCAGGTTATTTTCTGGGGAATCAGAGAGCCTGGATTCAAGTCTTGTCTCTACCACCTAGTAGATATGGGATTGTGGGTAAGTCACTTCAATTCCCAGGGCCTCAATTTTCTCATCTGCAAAATGGGGCTAGAACATCAGCCCCGCCCACCTCTCCACACTGGGTGGCTCTAATGAGATCATGGATAGGAGAGTCCTTGGAAAGCTGTGACAGGCAATACCAGCACATGGAATTATTACGTCAACTCTGGTTACAAAAACCGAAGGAGTAACTTAGGGGCAGATGAGAAAAGGGAACTTATGCACCATCCATAGCACAGGAGGGAAGGTAGTACAGAATGCCAAGGGAAGAGCTCTGGTTGATACACCGATTCTCTGGGTAACGCTGGACACGTTGCTCTGAGCCTCAGTTTACTCCTCTGTAAAATGAGGATGTTTCCTGCGCCACCTGCCTCACGGGGTTGTTGTAGACCTTAAACTGCTTTAAAGAAGAATCAGAGCTAAACATCTAGCACTTTCTACTCCTATTAAACATTTAATCTGCTCTGATCTGCAGCCATTCATGGTCACACTTTCTAACAGCCTGTGACATCTGACCTGTGACACATCTGAGGGCAGAGCCATGGCCCTGGGGTAAGGATGCCCCCAAAGGATGTCTTTACCTCTAAGATGAGGACGTGCAACGAGCCACTGTCAATTGAGGACGCTCTCTACCTCCGTATCTCCCCAACGAGCTCACAGTGTGGCGCCAAGTAAAGGCGGAACCAATGAATGGGCTTGAGCACAATCGTCTCAAAATGAGGCTGACCTGACAGAGAAGACAATCAGGTGACGCCCCCAGGCCCAGGGACTAACTGCCAGGACCTCACTTGCCTGTTAAATGGAACATCCTGAAGGATCCGGTCACTGCACAGTGAAAGAAGGCAATTTTTCTGCAGCTGTCAAGCCAAAGGGGAAAAAAAATGACTTAGGACAAACAAATCCCAGACAGGTCCCCTCTCTTCGGGAAGAGGCCAAGTCTTTCCAACACATGTTTATACCACTCCCCAAACCTTCTTCCTCCCCACCTGTTTAGTATAACAGCCCTAGCCCTGCCCTGTGAAGTCCGACCTAAGGAATCAACGCCCCGATTACTGATCTCACAGAGAAGCTAATTAATATACATCCATCAACCAGCATTAATTAAGTTCACACCAGGTGACAAACCCAGCACTGGGTGCCGAGGATACAAAGACAAAAGGCACACACACACACAGTCCTTGACCTCAAGGAACTTACAGTCCATCTGGAGAAACAATACACAACCCACGGGAGTACAGACAGGAGGCAAAAATCCAGAAAGGCTTCCTGGAGGAGGGCTAAGTCTTGAAAGAAACCGAGCATTTTCAGAGGAAGAGGGAAGGAAGGAGTGAATTCCAGGCATAGGTCAGAGCTGTGTTTGTTCTTTCAAAGTCCATGTCCTGGCATTCAAGGCCCTGCCCTTTCTTCCCAGCCTTGTCTCGTACCGTCCTCCTGCACTCTATGCCACAAACTGGCTCAGTCCCTGCTATGCTCCTGCCACATGCCAGGCATGGACTGCTCCCCTCTTGCAAGAATCCCGGATATTGATAGTGAGGAGTTAAGGGGGGGCCTAAGGTTGCAAGCCTAGAGGACTGGGAGGATGGCAGTGCCCCCAACAGTAATAACAAAGTCTAGAAGGCTTTAGGGGGAAAGATGAGTTCAGTTTGGGTTCTGCCAAGTTTCAGATTTTCCTTGCTGGACAGGTAGATTTGAGAGTCTTAGCAGAGAGATGGCAATTAAATCCTTGGGAGCTGATGAGGTCACCAAGTGATATAGAGGGAGAAGAGAAGAAGGCTCAGGGCACAAAGGTCATGGCACCGATCACGTCTGCTCGGGGAAGGAGAGCAAGCTGAAAAGGCTCTGGGGGTACAGCATGTGCCTGCCCCCTGGGATAAGGGAGCTCGTGGGTCACGGTAACCGTGACAAGGCACCGATGCAGCATCACAGTTGGTCCCACAGCCATGTCATTCTACCTGCTTTTGGAAGGCGATCTGACCCCAACCAAGGGTACCTGAGAGAGTACTCTCAGAGACAGCCCCTGAATGACATGGCCCCCAGAGCAGATCTGGGCATCAGCTTCAAACTCCCACCCTCCTTCACCTGAGAGTTCAGACAGGTAGAGTTAGCAGAAGGAAGGGAAGAGGAATAATGCCTGGCCAAAGCAAGAGGCCCCCTTACAACAGAGCAGTGAATGACTCCGCTGTGCCTAAGTGACCCAAACGTGGCCATGTATGGAGTGAGTGGGCTGCAAAATGTCACCTTCGAGGAGACCAATGCTCAGCAAGCTGAAAAGGCTCTTAGCAGTTTCAGTATTTCCTGGAGGGAACGTTCCTGCTCAAAGGAGAAATTAAAAAGAAACAAGCCAGGGAATGGGCCACCTAGTCTCCAGGAACATCCACAAGAAAGGAAGTGGGGGACCAGGAAAGCAGCAGCTAAGAAAGCCAAGGTCCTACCAGAAAACTCACGAGGGTGGGTTGGAGCCGCAGCTCTGCTCCTTGTGACCTGAATGACTTTGCTTGGCAAGCACCTGGAGCCCAGCAGGGGCCTAATCAATGCTAGTCGGCTGACTAAGCTTGGAGAAGTCACTGATCCTGCTTGGGCCTCAGTTTTCTTCTCTGGAAGATGGGGGGAGGGGGGAAACGGCTTGAAGAGATGACCCAAAATGTCCTATCTGTGATCATAGGACCCTCAGGAGAAAGCAATCATCACCTGCTCCTCTGGGGAACACAATTCCCTGGAGTTCCTACATGTGTATTAAATTAGGTGTGGGCAGAATCAGGAAGTTGGGGCATACGGACTGTCATGTCAGTCACTCTGGTGACGCACGTAGAGATGGCTGTTACCGAAGTCCCGGGAGGAGGCTGAAACCCAAGGTCTGGAAAGCCATGCAGCCACAGTGACATCTGACTCCCTATGCTGAGTGGAGGTGATGGGGAGCTGGAGGAGAAAGGCAGGTCTGGGGAAATGAACGGCCAGCTGAGAGGACTGTGCCTGAGCTGACTCTGTGTACCCCAGCTAAAATACAGGAATGACAGACAGGGTCTTCATAAGGGAGAACTAATACTACCTAACAAAAGCTAGTGAAAACATACTGGCTTGGAGTCTTGCAAATCTAATTAAGAACACTTTCAACAGAAATTATAGGGAGAGGGGAAAGCTGCTTGAAGAGGAAGGCCATGTAGTATAATGAGAAAACCCTGGACTTGAATTCAGGAGAAATCTAGGGTCAAATCTCATCTCCTAGATTTCTGAGTTGTGTGATCAAAGGCAGGGAAATTAACCTTTCCGAACCCATTTCCTTATTTAAAAAATAATTGATATTATCTGATAATGAAGACAGCTCAATGAAGGTACTTCAAAATAATGTAGGCACCTCAAATGATATCCATGTGTCAGCTCTGAACAGAAGAGGAAGAGGAGGAAAGACCCAGTATCTCACAAGATACAACACATCCATGCCCACACCTCTACACAAAGGCCCAAAGGGTGGGATGGGGACAAACATTAGAGATCCTAATGGAAGGATGGGACCGTTGGCTAGCATTTGTCTCCAGAAGGAATGAAAAATTCAGAAGAGATGCAGAGAGATAAAAAGTATAAGAAAATGGAACAGAGAGAAGAGCAAAGCCCTGCACCTGGGCTCAAATAATCTACTTGAATTTGACAAGGATTCAATGCCTATTACATGTCAGACTTGTGGCATCACTGGCCCAGAAAACTCCCCAGTGAATGTTCTCTCAATGTAGGCCATCACCACCCCTGCCACTTTTCTTCTTGGAGAGCCGTCAAGGGCACTGGGCAGCTAAGTGACTCGCCCAAAGTCACACAGACAATGGCTATGAGACGGAGGCCTCAAATCCCCATCTCTCTGGCTTTCCAGCCACTACATCACATGGCTGCTCTAGATCATTTGGGCTCCAGGCATCTATAGCTGCCATCAGCTGCCCATCCCAAAGCCCAGTCTGTGTGTGGGGCTGATGCCAGTTACCTGCTGGTGATTAGGAAAGTGTTCCATGGCTTTGAGCAGTAGATGGGTCACATCAGCCAGGAGCCGCACAGGCATGCCCACAGCTAAGTCCTGCTTGGTCAAGTTAAACACACACGCACTTGCTGCCAGCTGGACCGGCAAGTTCATGGGGTGGTTCCTCATCCCAATGACCACCAGCTGAAATGAAAGAAGCCCCCCCCCGGGAATGCAGGCACGTTGGGAGCAGCGGCCCTCAGAGCATCAGGAAAGGCACCAGCTGTGACCACCCCAACCCATCCACTGACACTGACGCTGGTGATGAACGGGCTCTGGGTCTGACCCCGGAGGCCCTTTCAACGCTTCCACTGACTACTAGGGGAAGCTGCTGCTGCTGTTGAAAAGGCCAGAGTCTTAAGGTGTAAGGGTAAAGGGTTTTAATCCAGCAGCTCATTCTAGTCGGATCCCCTTCCCATCATCATAAAGCAAGAACATTCCTTGAGATCGTTCTCCCACTGGTTTCCAGAATCTGTCTCAAGCAATACAGCAGAGTGGAAGAACTGGAGCTGGAGGCACAAAGCCAAGGTTAAGTCCTGGTCTTGGCTTTCTCATCTGTAAAATGGTCATGAGAGGATGCCATTCCCCCTTAGCCCTCCGACTTTACCTTCAATATCTCAGGCTTTGTTTTTTCCATGACATGGGTCAGGCTGAAGAGGTGAAAGAGGGCTTCCCGGACAAAGAAGGCCCTCTCGCTGTATCGCTTCAAAGCTTCCGAAATCTGAGTCTCGTTAGCTTCTCCCGATACCTTTAAAACAAGATCATTTTTGTTTAAAAACCAAAAACACATTAGGTTTAGAACAGGCTAGAACAGCACGTCAGCTCCAGAAGTGGTCTTCCAAACTTTCAAATGTGCTATTTCCCCATCTGACCCTCTGTGTCTGGCAGCTGCTCCACAATCTCCAAGACCACAAGTTTTCTAACTCTCATAACAACTGCCCGAGTTAGGCACATCGAAGAACACGAATGAACCGAAACAGAGCAAAGTAAGCAGAAACGGGAATACACAATGACCATTATGATGGAAAGGAAAACAACCCTGTAAGACAACTTAAGAACTGTAGGGAAGGCAGGGTGCCATTGTGACTTCAGAAGGCCAGTGCTAAAGCCCACGTCCATTCTCTTGGCAGGGAGAGGGCAGACTACTGACATAAAATGAAGTGCACGTTGTCAGACATCAACATGGTTTGTTTTGATTACTTAGATTTTTCTTATAAGGGAAGAAGTGGAGCATTATGAGAAGTGTTAACAGTGTAAAAAAAAAGCAACAATAAAATGTTAAAGATAAAAGACCTTAATCAGATTATATTATCAGATAATTGGATGGTGTAAGCAAGGGGGTGTTGTTCAGTGGGGTGGTGAATGTAGCAAATTGCAGGAGTTAGATATTACGGAGCCCTCCCCCCACCCCACTCCCCATATATATGTATGTGTATGTGGGGGGGGGTGGTACAGGTCATTCGATATTTGAGGAGAAAGCATATTGTGGTGGAAAAAGTACTGGACTTAAGACTCAAGATAAGACTAGTCATGGAGTTTGGGCTCGGGCCAATGCACCTGCTCATCTGTAAGAGGAAAGAGTGAGAAAATGCGCCCTCTGCAGTCCTTCTAGGCAAGACCTCCTGGAGGAGCAGGGATCCTAGCAGATGCTCAAAAGCCAGAAGGAAGCAAGCAGGGCCGCATGAAGCAAGGAAAGGCATTGTGCCCCTTGAGAAACGGGAACTTGTATGAAATAAGGCAGAGTGAAACAAGGAGAACTGAGAGAACATCGTACAGTAACAGCAATATTGTCTGAAGAGTCACCGTGAGTGACTGAGCTATTCTGAGCAATATGATCATTCAAATCAACTACAAAGAATCTGTGAAGGAAGATGCTATCCACCTCCAGAGGAAGTAGGCGGGATATGGGTCCACACATATGTTTATATCAAATATTGGCCTCCTATAATGCAGATTTGGGAGGGATCGAGGGAGACAACTTGGAGCTCAAAATGTAACAAACAAACCAATAAATGAAAAACAGGAACTGAGTCAACTCATCTGGAAGGACAAGGGAGTAGAAAAAGAGTACATGAAAAAGGCAAAGAGGTAGACAGAAGATAAGAAAAAGCAGAAATGAGTCCCAATACATTGTGCTGTGGAATCTGCCAATTATGTGCCAGGCACTAGAGACACAAGCACAGAGTGACCACATGCAAAATAGTTAAAGAGAGGTTAGTCTGAGAAGGAGGGAAATAGCATCTGGGAGGACAAAGAAAGGCTTTATGTAGAAGATGATGCCAGATCTTTCATTTTAACATCACCTACATTTTCCCCTGTACCCTTCCTCTTCTCCCGCCCCACAGTCATTCCACGTTATAAAGAACATTTTTTTAAGAAAAAGAGGAAAAGAGAAACAATAAGCAAAACTGTTAAATACCCTGAAAAAAGTCTGAAGATCTCCGCACTGTCCCACAGCTGTGCTGCAGGGTGACTCCTACTCCGAAGAGGCGTGTGCGTGCGTGCATGAGTGTGTGTGTATGTGTGTACGTGGGGGGGGGTCCTCCTGTCTCTTCTTTGGGGCTACCTTGTTCTGTGCTTGCTGCTTTTCCCCTTCGCTCTGTGCTCTCCTCACTGCTTCTGCTGACTTCACACTGTACCGGTCCATAGAAGCCTTCCCATGACTCTCTGCACTTACACCCCTTGATTCCAGCAGCTCCGTGACTCTCCACTACCCTGTCAGCACGCCCTGCTCATCCCTTCCTCAACTGAGGGCCAGCCACTTTTGCTCCTGGTTCCTTCCCACCCCCAAAGTGCTGCCAGAAACAGTTTGTAGTAGAGGGGGCCTTTCTGCTTACCTGACCTCATCAGACCTCCTTGGGGCACACTGCCTAGCAGTGGGATCTCTGGACCAAAGAGGACAGACATCTTAATCACTTTATTTACACAGTTCCACATTTTTTTCCAAAATGGTCGTACTGAGACACAACTCCACTGACAAGGAGCTAGGAGACCGCTCTTCCCACAACTCCTCCAATGCTTACTATCTGCACCTTTTGTCAACAATGCCAATCTGCTAGTGTGCTGGGTAAAACATCTATTGTTTCCAAACTACTGTTCTGACCTCGCATTTCTGTTATTACTGGTGACTTGGAGCATTCTTTCATATATACTTGTTACTAGTTTACAATTCTTTTGAGAACCATTCATTCCTATCGTTTGAGCACCTATCTGTTACTGTGAGATAGCTTTTGGTCTTATCGGGGGGGGGTGAGCACGCACTGAGAATGAGTTTCATCTTAAAGGTCTGGAGGAAGTGCATTCCAGACACAAGGGATAACTGAGGAAGCATCTGATCTGGGGAAGATGAGGGGGCATGGGACCCAGTGCACACGTAGAGGGAAGGGCCACTCCTGTCAGAGACTGGGGTAAGGGAAGAGAGTGGGACATGAAGTTACGGGGCTTTGGGATGAAGAGAAAGCTCAACTTTCTCAGTGAAGTCAAAGGCCAGGTCCACAGCTGAGAGAGGGGTGTGGGGAACTTTAGGGGAGAAGAGGTTGGGGAAAGTGTCTGTGGAAAGCGAGAAAGGGAGTTCATCAGGGAGGATAAAAGGATGGCTTGGCTCTGGGAGAGCTCAGTTGTGGTGGGTAACACAAACTGGCAACGTACCCACTCAGAGGGGGTACAGGACTGAAAAGCAGAGGAGAGAGTGCAGAACCGAAATTGCCAATTACTTGCAGTTGAGGTTGGAAAGGGAGGAAATGCGAAGTCAAAGCAGGGGTAAGAGCCAAGAAAGTGCTGAGGGGTAGAGGAAAAGAGATGGGTCTGGATGAGGGCAAAGAAGAGGTGCAGGAGGGGTAAAGCACAGGGAGAAGAGGAATGAGAGGAAGGTAGGATCAGACGGGGCAACATCAGAGGTTTCAATGAAGGAAGAACTCTTGCGTCATCCTTTGTGTGGCTGAGGCAGAGTGAAGGGACCAATGGAGGCTGACCAAATGGGAAGTGAAGGGGTTTGAGGGGGAACCCATGTGAATGTTAATGTTTGGAAGCCAAGCCACAGTCCTGTGGAGGGGAGGATCATGGTGAAATGATGAAAAAGTGGCACCAGAGAGAATTTCCTTTGGGGTAGACAGATTATTCTACAGTTGATTAGTAAGAATAGCTGTTACCCTGGTGAAAGGGGCCTGAATTTGGGTAATAACTGCAGAATGTGAGGGGAAGAGATGAACCAAGAGGAGCTGCCACCACAACAAACAGCAAGCTCATCTGACGTCAGCCTGGGCACCAGTGGCAAAGGCAACAAGGAGCCGACAATGCCCCCACGAAGGGCATGGTGATGGTTCACTGTCAGAGGGGGGCCTTGTAGACACAGTGCAAAATGGGAACAATATGCTGTCCTGGGGCCAGGTTCAAGGGTGAGTGGCAGGTGTGTGTCCGGCATTGACATGTCTGACGCACAGGCGGGGGTGACGTAATCCAGAGCCAGACAAGACGAGGAAAGGTGAAAAAACACAAAAGCCCTGTTGCTCTTTCCTCATATCGCCTGTTACAGGCACCTCCCTCCATCCTTTTCTGCAGTCAGTAGAGATGTGTTCAAATCCTGGCTGTGATACTTACTAATTGTATGACCTTGGACATGTCACTTCACTTCTCTGGGTCTCAGTTTCCTCTCTGTAAAATGGGTGCTTGGACTAGCTACATGACAGGAAAATGCTTTGTTAAGGTCATAGATCCAGAGCAAAGATTATCTAATTAACTCATGTTACAGAAGAGGAAGCTTCATTAAGGCTTTGTAAACTTATAAGTGTAATAGAAAGTTATGTTTGCGTTATCACTGTTATCAGTGGGTTCCATAAAACTATGCTGGGCCAAACTGGCAATATTAGTTCTGATAATGTTCCCAGCGTCATAGTCATGCAGGAAAGCGACACTGACAGCAAGTTCTAAAAGAACCACAAGATCTCAGATCTCGAAGGGATTTCAGCAGCACCCAGTCCAATCTAAACCCGAAAAGCCAACCGCATTACAAGCCAGGCAAGTCGCTGACTCCAGTGAAGGGACAGCTCGGATGATACATTATGCTGGAGGAGGTGGGAGGGCTTATAACGAGCCACTGAAGTGCTTGCAGTATTCCGTGAGCTGGGAAACCTGATGATGTGACAGCTTTCCTTTTAAAAAGGCCATTTTCCTCAGTCCCCCTCCTCTGACAGATTTAAGAAAACTGCCCACTCCATCCAACGTGCCCTCTCCCCCCATGCCTCCCCATGGCAAAGAAGGGAGCTGGGGTTTGGCAGGCTGCGCCCATTGAGGAGATCCCTGGTCGTCTCTGCCAAGTCAGCAAGGTTCCAAGCACAGGACCAGCAACTGGTGACAGTTCTAGGGCCCACAAAGTTTGGAGAGACTGAGCACCAGCAGAGAAGGAACTTTTTTGGCCAGCACAACTCATGAAATTACCTCCTAGGGGGCGGGGAGGTTGTGATCTATTCTGGTAGAAGGAAAACCCATACTGAGGAAATCCCTGTTCCTTTGAAAGATTCCAGACAGAACTCCCTTTTCCTTGTTTTGTTCAACAAGCAGAGGCAGTGGGAAGAAGGCTGGGCTTGCACTTGGGTGCCCAGTGCCGATTCTGGCTGCCCTACTGGGCGTGGTCACAGGAAGCCACTCGATCTGCTTGACCCTGAGCGCCTTTGTCTAAAACGCATGAACGAAAAAGCATTCATTATTGAGTGATTGCTATCAGTAAGCTTGCAGCAGAGCTGGCAGCGCTGT